GTACACCGCAAACATCACAGAATTAAGAAGTAGAAGACAACTCGATCGCCGGGACACTATGTTTATTTGCCTGTGCACACATAAACTGTTTCTGCTACCGTTCTGTGAGTATGTATCTGAAGATGAATCCGTGACGGAGTTCGAAACGTCAGGCAAATAAACATGGTATCCCAGCGATCGAGTTGTCTTCTACTTCTCAATTACTTCCTGGGACTCGCATGTTTGCTCGTATTAGCAATTACAGAATTGCCTGCGTGGTAGTTATCACTAGCTAACAATAATAAAAGCATAAATTATCACCTTCGTCGATTTAAAGAAGATGAAGAGAGCTAAACCTTGGATTTTGAAGACGTTCCAGAATCCTGCACCTGCTGAAATAATTCAATAACAGCCTATAGGTGCGAGTTCTCAAGAACAGATCAACATCAGACGTGTCCACCATAAAGAACGCTGTGAAAATGTGTTGTGTTCTCCCTTCAGCTTACCTAAATGTCACTTTCTTCGTAATGCCAGTGGAGGTCCAACGATAAGAAGTTTCCAAACTAGACATCAGAATGCGGAATCAGCGATAACCGATGTAACATCTAAAATGTGCATAGGTACACAGAATTCAGCAAAGACAAGACCCACGCCCCTTGGTAGACGATGACTGTGTACTCAGGGCAAGCGAAAGCATTTGAATGCAAAACTCGGAACTGACTCTGAAAAAAGAATGATAACACGCTATCAGGTGTAGTGCCAACGTCCCTAAAGCCACGTACCAAATGTCTAACGGTACGTAGTATCCATTCGTAGGCTATGAGTGCCTGCTATCCACTATAAGTCTGAATCCGGGACTCGGGCTACTGCGGTCCCAACTCTTTTCTAACTCTAGCACACAGAGGCCCACAAGACTCATTTGGTAGACACGGTGTAGCCATCTCCATCTTGAAAAAAAAGAAACATACACTGCTTGCGCCGAACCTTGTCAATGACCGCTGGCCCAAGTACTACTGTCTTCTTCATGTACGCACCGACACCAGCCACCTGCCGAGGATTGAAGTAGGTGGACAGGGTCAAACAAATGTTCTTGCAATCGGCATAATGTCCACTTAGGGCTTGGCCTTTGCTATGAGAGCGGTGAGATCACGTTAAATTTCGGCATACATAAACCGGCAATTTGGTCACGAGCACGTTCCCCCCAAATCAGAGCAAACACATGCTGACCTGATATTCAAACGATGACCACATGACCAGCCAGATGGACTACATTCTAGTGAACGTAAGAATATGTAGCTGAATTCCTGATGGCAAAGCCATGCTATTGGTCGTTAAAGCCTCAAATTTCGTCCCTCACCCTCAGCAAGACTAGGACAACCCGACAGAGTTGATGCACTGAACATAGGAATTCGGCCTCGCCTCGCAAACCAATTAGAAGTTAGTAGCAAATAGGCATTACTGAAATCCTCAGCGCACGGGGCACTTCGGACAAGGCTAAGGCGCTGGAGGGCCTCACAGTTGTCTGCACAGATAAATCACACAGATAAATAAATCGTACTTCGTCCCGCCAACTCCGGAAATCAGCTAAGTGTATTGGGTGTCGGTGACCCCAGACAACCCTACAAAGTCACTTATCTAAATTACTCGTGAGCTATATACACCGAATGACTCAGACCGCAATTTGGGCTGCGGCTTTAGTGATAACAACCTAACAGGGGTCGGCGCGAGCGTGGACACTTCGAGCATCTTCAAAGTTTTCATACCTTACCCACCGTTCTCTTTTCCTAGTATATTCTTATGCCTCTTTAGTCTTCGACAGCTCATTTCTGATGGCAGGAACTCGGCCACCATTGATCAGTCTTCGCGGCGTGACACCCCAACAGCATTGCTGTGTCGTTATCATGGT